CCTCCCCTCCAGAACAGCGCTTGGCCGAATAGGCCGGATCGCGGCCGAATTGTGCCAGCGACTGAGTTGGACGCCGCCGGACTCGGCGAGACAAAACGAGATCAGAAAAAGGATTCTGCTGAACACTGGCGGGTTCTACGATCCAGGATGTGCCAGCGCCAGTGCTGAACTTGACCTCCAGGGTGCCGCATCTTAACTGAACATCGTTTATCCGATCCCCACCCCCAGCGGCGTGGCCTTGACCCCGCTGGCCGATTTACCCCCCTAGATGGGAATATCGGCCGTATCCTCTGGGTCTCGCGGGGTGTATCCCCGAATGGGGGTGTAATTTGGTGGGGTCTCGAAGGGGGGGGACCATGGGGAAATGTCGACATGGATTCGGCGATACATCGACGCCACGTCGGCGCGCGGCCTCCTTTCGCAGCAAACCCCCACGTTCCCAGGCGGGGTGGCCTCGTCGGCGACGAAGACGGCTGATTGGGGGTCGACGCAACCTCCCCGAGCTGGCGGCGCGCACAAGGGGGTATGGGGGAGGGGGGAAGGCTTCGTAGGAGGCGCTGGCCTCACATCTGGAGGTCAGGACCGCGCCTTCTAACAAGCAGGGGTGTTTCTGATAGGCCTTCCCCCCTGCCCCTGCCCCCCTGTGCGCGTGGCCGACTAAGCCAGTCCCCCCCGAACGACGCCCCCTGGTTTTCACATCATGCCCGCCTCTCCTGCAGCCGTGGGGGGCAATCCGGGCGCACCAAAAACGCCCGCGGCGAGGCGCAGTTGCCAGAGGGCATCCCAAGGCGGGAACGCAGCCGAGAACCGAGGATAATGCCCGAAAACATCAAACCTCGAACCCCGAACGTGGCCGTTTTCTGAATCGGCATTTCGACCGTGGGCGGAAAACGGGGGGGAGGGCGGGGGAGGTCTGGCCCCGGACCTCTGCTTCATGCGACTGTTCGCAATACTGCGTCCCACGGGGAACATTTCGCCGACTTCACCTGTTCGAACCAGGATGTCCCCCCCCAAGAATTTTTGTGTTCATCATTGGGCTATCGTCGAAACACTAACTCCTGCACGTAGCCGACGCGCGACGGGAGGGTCCGAGGGGCCGAAAGAAGGCGAAAGACGGACCCAAGAACCACAGACAACGAACGGAGAGACACGACCGAAAGGAAAGGGGCCACGAAACAGCGAGGACCCGAAACTACAAATAGTGATGCTGGGACTGCCTGAGGGGATTTGATTGCCCCAGTCTTGGCTCATCGGAGGTATTTGCCTCACCTCCCCTCAGGCATCCACATGCCTACATTCAAACCCTCCTCCCAGGCGGCAGCAATGTTCTTTCTCGCTTTGCGAGCTTGGGCGGGGAAGACAGGCACATCAGAGTTGCAGGAGGTTTCCCAAGCGCAAGCGGCACGGGTGCTTGCTCCCATTGCGCCTCAAAGCTTGGGAAGTTTCGCAATCAGACAGCCTCGAGGACGGGAAAAAGGTTCAAAATCTACTTCACGGGGGGGGAGGGAGGGGGGGTGCGAGGGCCCGCGCCGATCGGCAAAACACTGACCAAGAGAACGATCGCAACCCGAGCCTCTCGGCCCCTAACGTTGCGCATCGGTCGCCAAGACCTCGCGCATCGCACGCTGCGATGCGCGACGCGCGGCTGTCCCTGCGCCCTCCGCGGGGGAAACCAAACGGCACCGATACCGCTACATACTCCCTGGACCTCTCCTGGGGTGCGTTCTGACCAGGATTTCGGGGCGAATGCAGCGGTGGCGACGAGGGAGGCCCAGGAGGCCCAAAAAGGGGGAAACGAGGAGAAGGTAGAGGTATATGGGTACCTTTTTTCTTCTCCGTCCTCCGCGCCGCCCTCCCGGACGACGGCGCGCCCTCGGGGCCGGGCCGCGGCGCGCGCGGGCCCCGCAGGCGGCCCGAGGTCTTTCCCGTCGGGCCTCCGCGCGGCCGCCGCGACTCCAGCACCGCGGAGCCGAGGCCGTGGGCGTCGAAAGCGACTGGACCGGACTGGACTAGACTGGACCCGCCGTTTGGTCGGCCAGAACTCGCATAGACGCCCCCCCCCCCGAGTAGAAGAATCACACCACGAAGAGAAGTTCCGAGCGGATTTCTCGGAACGGCCCCACGCCAGAACGGGCGCCGGAGACGCCGCCAGGGGGGCCCCCGCGCCGACCCAAGCAATCCGCGCGGAGCTCCGAGCAGGGGATCGACTGCAGAATTGAGTTGCCCCAAAGTTGATTCCTCTGTCGAGTCTACGGAGCTTTCTACGTATTTGTTTTGAGACTCGACGAGGAAATCAATTTCAGGGTGACTCGATCCTGCAGTCGATCCCCTGCTCGAATGTTCATGGCGCTGCTTTCTCCTTTGGCTCGAATCGCCCCTCTCCCTCCCCCTTCGGCTCCGCCGACGGCCTCGCGGGTTCTGGACTTCTGGCCCCCCCCGCAGGTGGCGCTGCACTCGCCCCAGGACCCCCACAGGCCCAGCTCGCAGTCCACCGACGAGC